GAGTTACATTAAAAATTTACATATAAAATCTCAAATAAACTAATTTATAAATTACATAATTTTTCTAAAAATATATTTTGATATAATAAGATTTCTAGCATAATAATGTACATCAATTCTAAAATACTAATTCATATAAAAAAAATTATAATCTAACAAAAACCCGCGCTTTCGAAGCGCGGGTCAAAATCTAGTTTATTATTAATTTTGAAACATGAATCATAACTTAATATATTGGTTTGAATTAATAAAATATAGACTAATGATAAATTATACGAAAATTATGCCCGCATGTGCGGACAAAACACCTAGTAAATCTATTATATATTAATTTATTCATGTGTCAATGAGATCAACAATAATGGTGTCACGTTGATAACAGATTATATGCATTTAGATCAAAACCATCCCTATTGAAAACAAAAACGACGTTTGACGTTTGATTTCTCAAACGATGAATCCACCACAAGCAACCTCCCTTCTCTTCTTCTCCATTACCTTCTTCTTGGATTATTATGTCTCTGCTCAACCTCCTCCTCCTCCTCTGTACCCAACCAACGACCTCTTCAGGCCAACCTTAATCATCACCATCGGAGTTTTCTCCATCGTCTTCACACTCACCTTCTCCCTCCTCGTCTACGCCAAATGCTTCCACAACAGCCTCCGATCAGAGACCGACGAAGAAGGAGACATAGGAAGACTCGATCGTCTCTGGCAAGGACTCTTCAATCAATCATCTTCTCGATTATTCACAGGTCTCAACAAAACAGCAATCGAGTCTCTCCCCTTTTTCAGATTCTCTGCTTTGAAAGGATCCAAACAAGGGCTTGAGTGTTCTGTCTGTTTGTCTAAATTCGAAGACGTTGAGATTCTTAGGCTTTTGCCTAAATGCAAACACGCTTTTCATATCGAGTGTATTGATGAGTGGCTTGAGCAGCACGCTACGTGTCCCTTGTGTAGAAACAGAGTTTGTATTGACGACGAGCTCTCTGTTTTCTCTGTTTTGGGTTGTAGTAGCAGTAGCCTGAGAATCATGAGCCAGTTGCCTGAGACAAGAGAAGAAGACTCGAGCATGGAGATTTACATCGAACGCGATGAAGGAGGAGTTAGTGATGGCTCTTCGAGGTTCAGCAGCTTCAGGAAGATTCTCAAGTTTGGTAAAAATGATAAAACGGTGTCGCTTGTGGATCAAGGAAACGAGAAACGTATGCACAAGTTCAATCACAGGATTGTTGTTTCAGATGCTGTGTTTAAGAACCGTTGGAGTAATGTGACTCCATCGGATTTGACTCGTTTGACATCGGGCATGTTGAATTCCATGTCGAGCGAAGGGTTCGCGTCCATGGATCGAGTGCAGAGAGGTGACGTGCGGGACAAGGAAGATATCGAGATGAAGAGGATGGTGAAGAACAAAGATTCAACGAGGAGAGCGGTTTCTGAGATCACTGCTGTTCCTAGACAATGCGTTTTGGAAGTTACAACAGCGACTAGAGAAAACGCGGTTGGAGAAAACGACAGTGGTTTGGCCGCGTCTACCGCTTCCACGTCGGCGACGGAGGAAAGAAGACGACAATTATGGTTGCCTATAGCTCGAAAAACGGCTCATTGGTTCGTTAACAGAGAGAAGAAAAATGAACTAAACACGACAGAATCTTAATTTTAGTTGTTCTTCTTTTACAAATGATTGATGATTGTGTCTTTGTGTAGTAGATACATGGAACATGGTGGATTGATAATGAACAAAGTTTCGGCCAATGATTACAATCGTTAATTGAACTTGTTGGAACTTAGTATACAACACATACTTGTGAAATCGCTTTTAAACGTTTTTTAAAATCACATTTTAATCAAAACCATAATCTCAGATTGGAGGATCATAATCTGCTGTGTAGATAACTTTTTTAAAAATGTGAAGCCTACTACCAATGTATAAAAATGTAAGCCACTAAGTTTTCTTATGTTTAGTTTTTAATTAGCAGATGATTTGTCTAGGAATCTAATCAGTATAAAAATCCAAAAATATGTATATATGAAACTAAAGGAAAATTATGCTTCCAGCACGTTGAGTCTTATATATATAGCTGTCTAAATAAAATTATTCATATATCACTTATATATATTACAATATTTTGATAGCTTTAAAAATTTATATACAATTTTGAGGTTTAAAAACAAGGACAATTCTCTCAAATGATCATAAAGTAGGTTTTTCACCCAAAAAAAATCCAAAGAAGAAAATGACAAAAATATTTCATTTAAAAGGTTAAAGATCATTCTACCTTACTATATAGATATTCAAATATACATATAATCATTTAAAGGTTTATTTGTGAAATGACAGAATAAAAAATAGATTTGTAGTAAAAAGGTAGTGAGAGATAGGAGGAGAAAACAAGAGAGAGGGTGGAGTTTTGGTTTGTTAATGACATATAGGTTTTATGGTCATTTGGCCTAATTTTTCGTCAATATATATTTTTACTACAAATACTTTTGAATAATACGTTTTAAATTTGAAATTTTTTAAATTTTTGTGAATTTCCTTTTCATTTTTTCAAATTTTTATTTAGAAAGCCAAAAATTATTTCTCAAATTATTTTTCAAAAGTTTATTTAGAATTTTAGTATTTATTTATTATTTATTTTTAAAGTCCTAAACTCCATCCTCAAAACTCCACACCTCAAATCTGAACCGTAAATCTTAGATTAGTAAACCTTAAGAATATAAATGTCTATCTATTTCTTTAATGAATTACTAGGTGATTTTTCCGTGCTCATGCACGGATGTGAATATTAATAAAAGTAAAATTTTATAATTATTGATTGATATTTAATTTTTGTTTTGGATAAATTTATATGTATAATTTATATTAATAAATATTATATTATTCTAATTATACATATGACTTTGGATATATTATTGTCGGTTTAATTATTTTTTGGATCAATACTCGGTTTGGTTATCAATTTGGTATATTGGATAATATCTATTTTTTTAATTCAGCTATAATATTTTTATTCTAAATATAATAAAATTTTAATTAACTTTCTTATTTTCATTTCGGTTGGTTATTGTCTTAGATATGTAAATATATTATAGTTAAATTATATATAAATTAATATATATTGTGCTCAAAATGAAATAAATAATAAACTGAAGTGTTTGATTCAAAATTACATAAATGAATATAATGATAATATTTTGAAGTCTCATGCATATATATAAATTCTACAAGAGAATTAAATTGTAATTGGTTAATATTTTCTTTTTCTTTTTAATATGCTTTAAATCAACCTCTAATTTATATGTATAAAAATAAATAGATTAATATTATTATTATTATAAAATTATATGTTCTTATTGTAGTTAGATTTTTAATTTTGGAAATAAATTAGATTAGTCGAGTATTATTCAATCAAAGATTTAAAATCAATTCCCAATTTTGGTAATTAAAAAAATCAAAGATAATTTGATTTCAATCATTTGTTCATGAAATTCCATAGCAAATAATTTGAGATCTGTTTTAAATACAAAGATTTTAAAATATTTTAAAACTGAAGAACATTAGATTTTAAAGTTGTATTTACATCAGGGGTGTATTGAACCTAAAGCTGGTACTTTTATACGGGATCCGGATTTGATCCGAGATCTGCTCCAGATCTGCTCCGAAATTAGGATGTTCGGGGGTGCCTAGATCCAAATCTGGATAGTAAAATCTCGGATCCGTGCAAACCGAATTCGCATCCAAATATCTTTTTAGGTCCTGATATCCGGATTTGGATCAGTATTTTAAAAAATATTTTTAATTTTTATTTTATTATTAATTATATATGATATACTAATATTTATACATAAAATAAGTTTAATAATATTCTACTTTTATATTAATAATATTATATGTCATATATATATTCATAATTTATACTTAAATATTTAGTTTATGTATTATTATTAGAATTTTTGATTTTTTTAAAAAAAAAATCATTATTTTTACAGATCCGAATCCGGATACTCGTGGATATCACAATATCTAGACAGATATGCGGAAGACACGAATCCGAATCCGGATACTAAAATCACGGATCCGACGAATCTGGATCCAGATCCGGATACTTCAAATTTTCCAGATATCCGGATCTGTTCCACCCCTAATTGAACCAATGGTTTTTAGTACTCTTAGTTTTTATTAAAATTAAGAATTTTAAAAAGTCTTCTAAAAATCCAGTGTTATTAAACACAAAAGTTATGTAAAATCACTAAATATTCTATGTTATTCAAACAATAATTTATTAAAATTTATCAAATCCATTGTTATTGAAAAAATTTCGAGTATTGTGATTTTAATGACTTTTTTAGAGGATTTTAGGGGATTTTTTAGTTAAAAATACAAAAATCTAATTTTCATGGTTTTAGGTGGGATTTTCGGAGATTTAAAACAATATTATATTTATTTATTAATTTTTAAATTTAAATGCAAATTATAGTTTAAATAAAATTTGTTTTGAATAATAATATTAGAATTTTACAAGAATACTTTGTTGTTTCGGTTATATATGTGTGTATATTTATATATGTTTATATATTAAGGTTGAAACTCATATAGTGAATATTTTTGGTTTAAAGTTTTTACAATATAAATTATGTCATTGTTGAATTTAAATTAGAATTGAAATATATATATATATATATATATATATAATATTTCAATTTTAAAATTTAATTTCAAAATTTTAAATAATTTTATATTTATGTATCCAATCGTAACCATCCGCAACCGCAAACGCAGGGGGAACTAGTTTTTGATTTAAAAGGTTTGAAGCGGTTTGGAGAAATTTATAGCATTTATTGTGATTGTCACAAAACACTGACAACCGTTACTAACCGCAAAAAACTACGTTTGCGAATGATAGCGGAGAAATCGGTCAAACCCTAAATATCTAGTTCAACACACCCTCTATCATTCCTTGAATAGTACTTGATTTTAAATAAAATTTCTAAATACCATATCAAATAAAACAAAATTTAGAATCAACATTTGAATAATGGTGGATTTGCTTACAGTTAAACTCCAATAAAATCTATACTATTAAAGAAGAATTATATTTTGAAAATTTTGGATTCTTCCTTTGCATTTTAATTTAATTACAATTACATACCACTCATTTATTTCTACATAATAAATTAAACTAACATTGCCTAAAACATTCTAACTTAATAAAAGAATATTCCTAAATAATATCTAACCGAATTATTAATTAGTCATAAAATCTCCCAATAACAGATTTATTCATTAATTAAACAAAAGGGTAAAAAATCACACAAGAAATCAAGATTTCACGTCTACATATAAAAATAATATATTGTTATCAATAGAAAAAAATAGGTCATATATTCGTTTACTTAAGCAAAACATTTGTTACTGGTGTATAATCAATACTTATGTTATGGCTAATAACATCATAAAACCAAATTTACATCAACGCAAATCATACTCATTTTATCTTATTAAAATATACTTATAATTTAAAAATAGAAACAAATATTTCCAGAATAAGTTTTCATTTTTCATGTCAAATAATTAGTTATAGTTACACTATATATACATAGATGTTATATATTATCTTTATCTATATTATTAAAGCTGAAATACCTTTTGATAGTGTTTGGAAATAAGGATACTAGGATAAATGAAAATTGTTTGGAAACATGAATAACAAATTAAGTATTTTCTTTTATTTGCACATATAATCATTATATTTACAATAAATTAAACAGTTTCTTTTGTATTTCTATTTACTTACAGATTCAGTCATTGCATATAAAATCAATTTAATTAATTAATTGAAATATTTTTTCCTTTTTTGTGGTGAAAATAAAAACACAAACTAAAATAATAAAATAATTTTAAAATATAGTATTACCTTATTTAATTTGATCAAATATAAAATTTTGAGAATTCAACTTTCAATAAAACAAAATATCATAATATTAATGATAATGCATAAAAAAACTAATGCAAAAAATTATTTTAGTATGTTGTTTCATTTTAAAATAAACTAACATAAAAAAACATGTTAATATATGAATAATAAGGTTACATCAAATTGCATCAAGTTATAAAATTTCTAATATAATATTATGTACAAATAAAAATTATTATTAAACATTTATATTATAAAATAATATATTATATTCTATATGTAAATTATAAAACATAAATATATATATATATTTTTTTTATTATAAAATCAACAATTTATGAGTTTATAAAACACAAATTAAATCAAACACCCGCACGGGGGTGCGGATCAAGTTCTAATTTGTATTATATTTTATTTTATTCAATTAGCTAGATTATTTGAAACTGAAGAAATATCTACTACTTTGAATACTTCTATATTCATTCGGATTATATTTTAATTGTTAGAAATAAAATAAAAGAGCCTCCTGCATATTAATTTTAAGATTACATTTCAATAAAATATTTAAAATATTTTGATTTTAATATATATATATATTATATTCCTTTTCTTATCTTATGATTAAAGAAGAATCCTATTTTGAAAATTTTGGATTCTACCTTTGCATTTTAATTTAATTACAATTACATACCACTCATTTATTTCTGAATAATAAATTAAACTAACATTGCCTAAAACA